CTGAATTGAGTCAATTTACAATGATTCAAATTTAGTTTCAGTAATGTATTTTCGTATGGTTCGAAAAGTTCTTCATCAGCTTTCGATGATATGCCAGTAGTTATGCTTACCTTGAGAAGGAGACGCAAAGTAATCCTTCTTCTGGCAGTTTTTCATTTCTTTGATAAAGTAATAATTAAAATTTTCTTTCAAAATCAATCAAATGTTTTGAAATGACGGTAATTATGCTATCAGAAACTTCCCATTATTTTCAGTTATAAAGGTTTGAAATGCTTGCAAATTTTCATAATTGTGGTCTTCAATGTTGTTTTCCATAAGAGGTTTTTTTAATGAATCCTCTAATTTTGTCATGCGCTTCAAATATATTTGTAACCCCTCATACCTTGTAAGTATGAATTTAATTTTTTAAGTTTAGTGAAAATGTCTGCTGACCTTGAAAGTAAATTTTACACTGTACAATGATTTTGCTAATTCGTTTCTATCCTCTAAAAACATTGTGACTTTTTCACGGAGTTCCACAAGTCTTGTCAGCTAAATTTAGCTTGTCAAACTAAGGTTTCCCTTTCGATAGCCAACATACTCCCATATGTAAAAGAAATTGCTTGCGGTTACTCATCATCTCTTCCCAAATTTTTTCTGATACCTTGATTGTAACGGCTCTGGTTTTATTAAATTTGCTATATTAGCAATAACGTTCATAACATTTTATAAAGCATCTAGCATAAATTTTGATACCAATGCTTCTCTATGAATGTTACAATGATTCCGATACAAATTTGAGCTAATTGCAAGCACCTGAATCGCAACACTTCCTTTTTTACTGTGCATAGCCCGTGCACCTTCAGTACATATCGCGACATATTTCATCCAATCTAAATATCTCGATTTTATACAAGTGTCGAGAGCCTTGAATATTTTTTCGCTTGTCCCTCGAATAATAGTTCACAAAATAATATATTATCATGAGATTCGTTGTTCTGTAAATAATATATGAGAACAAGCGGATGAGACAAACCTTGTATGTCAATAGATTTGTCTACTGTGCTATTTGAAAGTGGTTTAGGAGTTTATAGCGAAAAGTAGTTTCTCATTCTTGGACGGGGCTTAAGGGACTCGCTCGAAACGTAACTTTATGTGAAGCCACAGATTGGAGCAACAGGTGACGCCACAGATGTATCATGTGCAAAAGGCGTGTTTTTTCCGTACCACATCTGTAAGTAGAAACGACACGTATTTTGTTTCTTCATTTCTTGTGATTCGACACGAATAGCTTATTTGCGTATTGCGCTATAACTACAATTGTCGTGTTGCTACTATGTGATTTGATGAAGATTTTAAAATACACATTACATTTTTTTTGCAAATTGTGGAAAGATACATAACACATTTAAGATCTTGTCATGGCTCTCCAAAAATTGACTCGCGACCAATTGGGAAAATCGATAACAAATAAAACTGTTAGGTCCGTAGAGGCATTACTTTCCAAACAAATCTCGTATTTTTGAATATATAGTAAGAAAAAAAAACCATCAAGGAATCGAATAGACTTTTCAACATTACTAAAAAAGTTGCCATGAATGTATAAAGTACAAGTCCCGGTTTGTATTTAAATTTGAATAACTTCTTATGCAAATCTGCATTACTCGGACTTCTGAGACATTTTTCTTTACTGATTTAAATGAGCCATTTTACGACAGATTGGTAACATTATCAAAGTATTAGGTAAAGATACTACGAATCATTCAGTTATTGTTTGTGAAACTTCAAAGTGAAACTTTAGATATAAGAAACTTGCCACAAAGTGAGGCCAGAATATATTTATTTCCTACAAGTTTCTGCTGTAATTAAAAGTGAACCGAGGAAAAATGTCTTAAGATAGCATCAATGATAGGTGAGGACCCCATTACAACGTTTCGGTGTCTTGCTGATCTATATAATGTAAAAAATTGACTCTTAAAACTTGTCAACTGCGAAAGAAATGAATCAGTTTGAAGTTGGGAAATGCTCTCGTGTCTAAATTGAAAAAAAGTATATTTTCTGTATCAAATTATTATGTGCGACGAAAAATGGAACCAATATAACAATAGGGAGCAATCTGCTTTATACTTCAGCAAAGAACACATTCCTGAATGACATCAAAACTCCACCCTTTTATACCATAAAATTGATGCTTCTTATATGTTGAAGACAAATTAAACCTTATGTTTATCTACAAGGTAATTCATTGGAGGTCCTTGCAAAGAGGCTAAACTACCAATACGGAACAGAATTGCTTTGAACTTTGACAAACCTATCGGGTATTGGTGGAATAACAGCAAGCATTGTTCAAAAAGTATTCTTCTCTTGTAAAAGAAGGCTCGCCCTCTTATTATACCGCGATTGATGATTGATTCACCATGTGAATTGAAATTCAAAGAAATGTCTCATCTATCCTATCTCTTATTTATTACTATTCCCAGACGATCCTCTCTTGACCCACTAGGGCTTGGAGCGTTCTTTTAAGTCCAGCCACAGCTAAAATATGCTTCTTAATTTTCAGCCATGATCAGGTGACGAAGTCGACACCCTAGCAGGTACTCCATTCTCCACATCCATTCCATAAGAACGCGAGGACATTGATCCCATATAGATTTAACGTGTCTCAACACCTCTAAAACTAACAGTCTATTTCGTCTCCTTTTAAACTCCTTGCTTGGAAAACGCAATTGCTTCCCTCAATATATGAAGATTCGCCGATCCATTGATTACTTTCTCGTGTCCCTATCACAAAATTTATTTTCATATTAGTATGATTTTAACAGTTAATAACTATGTGTGGATTCAGAGGGGAACTATTACGAGTAGGTAAAGTACTTACTCGCAATAGTTCTTTTCTTATAATGCTCTTCAATCCTTGTTGATACGCTCCAATCGAATAAAACTTAAGATACCAAGCTCCAAATATTCCTCATATTAATTCCAGTTCTCCAAAAAAAGCTAAAATTAATGTCAGTACTCTGTTATAATGCTTAAGGATTCAGATTTTATTTCCGTCCACATTCTAATTCAAATAATCTCATCCGATTTATCGAGGAATTTTGAATGCAAAACATTTAAAATTCCTCGACATCCAAAGATTTTCTTCTCGTAAAAGTGCTATACCATTACGGTTTACTAACTCTGGAAAAAATTTACTACAGATAAATCTCCGCATGTGTTGTTTTCAAACAAGAGATAAAACTACTTTTAAAGCTGTGACGTAATCCTATTTCCCGTCTCGTCTGTCATCTGAAAAATTGTTCGTATCACCAATCTAAATTTCAATTTCAGTTCGAGCGCAGTCAAAGTAATTAAAATTGTCAATTATATTTCAAAATAGAGCTTATTAATCTTTTTATAAATGGTATGCGCTCAAATAGTTTCATGTCTTTATCCAAGAGTTCTAACAATTTCTATAATACATCAAGGAATACGCTTACCGGAATAGAATACAAGTACATTTTCCAAATATTCAATCAATCAAACAGCATTCGGTCCAAGTCTTAACAAATCGTGTAGGCATGTTAGGAAACTCCCCCGCATTTCACACTTGCACCATTCCTATTACTGTAACATTCTTATTCTTAATTCATTTCTCTTTCGCATTTATATGACTCAATTATATCTATTCACTCCACTTCTAAAGTTTATTTAATTTGCAACATCGCGTTCCAATACCTAAAGTAGCGTTTGAATTATTTTGTATTGTAAAAACATATGATTAAGAAATATATTAAACGAGGGGGAAAAAAAGATAATTGACTGGACACTATCAGACTCACTGGATTTTGTATGATTTTCTTAGCCATTCAACACAACAATGCAACCTCAATTATAAAATTTTGAAAGGGAAATATTAGTATTTTAAAAACTTTATTTATTGTTTTCCATCCTTCAGCCTCATCGTTTTTTTTATTATCACCAATGAGCGTCTTTAAAGATTCCCATTCTATTAGGTAAGTCCCATTCTATCATTTTATGATGCGACCGCCAACGGTGGGCTGTGGTGGAATCGTTTTAGATTTATGGGAAAAGATGATTATATTTTCAAAATCCCATACTACCAACAATCGCTTCTCTTATAAGGTGGCGACTCGGGATGATGTGTCGCCTTGAAAAATTCTGAAATGAGCATCGATCGAGCTATTCCGGCCGCCGTCTGGTCTATTGCTAGTCGGGTTCATACTGCAGCATCCAATGCAGAGAGATGGAAGAGACAACGAAGATAAATATCTGGGATATCAAGGTCTTTGCTCTAAAAGTTGGAAGATGTGCCAACTCGTGCCAAAGGACAAAAGGTCCCACTGATGGGCATTTTCTATTAATTGCTTGCCGTTGTCACACAACAAAACATTGACTCCACTAAATGCTTTATTTTTAATCTAATTTAAAAAAACAGTCTCGATTATTTGAAGGAATATATTTTTCAGTTAAATAATTAATGAAATTAAATATTTTTCAAGAAACGTTTTATAGAATAATTTGTTATACATCGAAAGGGAACTACAAATGTTTTAAAAAACGTGTAGTAACTCGAAAATTTTAAATCCATAAATTATTTTCTGCAGCTGGATGTTGGAGATTTAATCTGAAGTTATTCATATTTTCGATACATTCTTCAAAATCTGGGTACGAAGTAAATGTAAAATGTTTCCTTCACAATTTATGTCCAAAAACCTTTATACATTTAAAAACATTCAGATACTTTTAAGTAAAAATCAGGAAAGGTTATTAATTTGTAGTAAATTACATGAATCCTATAAAGTTATTTATGAATTAAAAATTAAAAATATAACACAATCAGATCTTTAATTTTCGTAATCTTTACATATATTAAGATTTATTTTCTTCATTTTTCCAATTTTATTTACTTTTAAAACCAATCCGAAACAATTCATGCAAACCATCTTATTCGAATTTAATCTACAACTTTAACTAGTAGAATTTTCTACAAGGTTCGATATAACATCAGAGGGGATTTGAAGCCATACCATGCTGAAAACACCGGTTCTCGTCCGATCACCGAAGTTAAGCATCATCGAGCGCAGTCAGTACTTGGGATTAATTTAAAGATTTAAATAATTTTAAGAATCTAATTAACTCTCAAGCACCTTTTTATTTTATATTATTTAATTGATGCAACATCCAATTTTATCATGGACAAAATAGGAATACCAGGTTGAACTCAGATAGGAGATTAAAGCCCACATCGAACTAGGTACTCATCTAAAATTTTCAATACACACAAATACTCGCATTGCCTTCACCACCGGCATCTTTTTCTTTCTTTCGTTAGCCAGCGCCACGTCGCATCCAATGTTCCATAGAATGCTTATGTTCCGTGTTCTATTTTCAAAAATAACACAGTAGTTAATTAATAAAGTTCATTTGAAAACAGAGGTGAGTATCTATCTTTACTTCAAAGACTTCAACATTTAATTAGAAAGGGAAATGCCACACTTTTTCACACACACACGCACACACACACACACATATATATATATATATATATATATATATATATATATATATATATAAATATTTATATAAAATTATATAAAAATTTTTTTGAAATGCGCAAATAAACGAAGACAATTCAGAGTTAAAATTATAAAAATGTAAAATTACAAATGAATATTTAGAATAAAGTCCGGTATCAAATTAAAAATAGAAAGATAAATACTGCAAACTAAAAAAGTAAAAGATAATACCAAAAAAAAATTCTCTGAAAGAGAAAAATTATAAATTTAAAAAATAGTAAATTAATATATATATATATATATATATATATATATATATATATATAAGGAGATGGCGTAATTTAAAATGCTGTTTCTAGTTTAGGACAGAAATATATCTATTTAAGCTAGTTTTATCGGTTCAAACCTTCTCTCTTAGAAAATTACATTATAATAAGTTAGTAGAGTCTCAATAATTCAATAATAAATTCGTTAGTGATTGATTTAAAGTTTCCATTTCGTACCATAACTGCCACGATTTAAGTTCAATATGTTTTCAGTTCAATACTTAAAAAAGTACCGTGTTAAAAATATTTAGTATTAAAAATATTTTTTCCGAAGATTAATGAAGTTTTTTTTTTTATCTTCACGCAAGAAGGAGGGAGATACTTCGAGATTATCGACGGAAACAGCACACGTACACTTACTTTGATAATGAAGAAATAGCGAAGGAAAATTTTCCTTGTTGGTTTCTCCAGGGATATTAAAGTAAGAATTGTACATATCATATGGTAATTGATGTAGGAATAGTTAGGTATTTTAACTGGAGTATGAGTGGCTGGTAGAAAATATTCCTATCTCAGAGCTTGGGAAATGCTGCTCTAAACATATTTAGAAATCGCGTGAATACACAGGTAGCAGAGCTTGGACAATAACAGCACGAACATATACACATAACTTTTACAGATTAGCGACACAGGCACAGGAATAAAACAGCACGAAAATGACCGTCATATTTATGTCAGCAATGTACAACTCACCAACTTACTAGTTCTTACTACGGGCAAATCTTCACAGTAATACTCTGCACTTCCAAGGCAGACACCGGCCGCTCCGCAAATTCACTCGACCATGCAACCATCAGTTCCTCAGCAGGTCTGCTTCTTCGATCGATCTTCAAAGCATAGATTGACTGACTCCCTGACTGAGGCTTTTAGCGTATTCATACCTGTTCCTGCCAAGTATGAGTCACCCAGAAAAATCAGGAAATGTCAGTAACTTTCTAGTTTTCTCTTAGGTTCCAGCACTTTCGGGAACTTTGAATCAGTCGTCAAAGTCATCAACTTTTTCGCCATGTCGCAAACGGTCACCAAATCCATCGCCAAGATTAAGGGAGCATTGCTTAAACTCCCCTTGGGTGACTGATGACATATCTGTATTTGTTCTTTTCCTTCAAAAGAGAACCTTTACAGGGAAGAAATATTTCATGTTCGAAACAATATTATATATATATATGTGTGTGTGTGTGTGTGTGTGTGTGTGTGTGTGTGAGTGAGTGTGTGTGTACATATATATAGAGAGAGCATTTGAAAATGAGTTAGACATTCGTATTGTTTGTTTTGTATTATTTTTATTGTGATCGATAAATGAGTTTGAAAATTGCTTTTTTGAGTCATATTCATTACCAAATTTTATTTTATACCTTGCGAAAGATCTGGAATTCAATTGAAAAATTTATGATCCAAATAATTATTTCTTTCTTCGTAAAATATGTATTACACAATGAGATTTCCTCCTAATTTCAGATTCTTTGTTTGAAATTGAAGCACATATAACGAAAAATATTTATTACGAATCACAAGTTATTAATTGGTTTTCTTATTGCCTTTATAATAAATATAAAAAAAAATCAGCAGTTGATGTAATAAATATGAAAATTATATGGACAACATTTACATCAATCAAAGGCGTTACATCAAAAAATAAACAAAGGAATATTTAGAAAAAATTCTAATCTATTTGTTGCAAAATATTATTTAGTAAACATAGTGTTTTTTAGACATCATTAAAATTGCCACAAAAAATTTATTAACAGTTCTATGTAACTAAAGATTATCAATATTGTTGTTATATTATTCATATAAATATTTATGATATGATGTTTATTATGTATTTTTTTATCATAATAGATACTCAATATTTAATAAAATAATTTATGCTGTTTCATAAAGGAACAACTCGTTTATAAGTGCTATATAGTCGAATAAGGAATTATGCTCACCATGTGGCTCATATATAAGTCAATTTGACATCTAATTGGGGCTAGAAATAAATGAATATTGCATTAATATGCAATAATTTCAATATCGAATGATTTATATTAATATATTAAGCACATTAATTTTCCTTATTTTTTTCCCACGATATTTTTCAGTTCTTCTACACGTACCTTGGATTATTTCAGCAAAACTTTCACTAGCGTTATTTTTTAACAAGGCAAAATCTTACCTAATATCGCTACATATTATACTTATAGATTTCAATGCATAATTAAAATGATGCGCTCGCCAGGGACTCCAAAATATTACACAAAATATTATTCTATTGAGATCACGGCTTGAATATTGCTTTACAAACCCTAAACCATACATAAAAGCGAAGACTATCCGATCTATACTGAGCAGACCAAGTAATTTCCAATGTCCTTTGCTTCACTCAGTCCGATAAGATGTAAATGAACATATAATTCCAGTATTTGAGAACAAGGTATGTATGTATTCGGTAGTAACCTTTTGTATACTGGCATTATACAAAAGGTTACTGGCATTATTCTGTGCAAGTAATCTATGCATTGGAACGTGCTATTCTAATCTGTGGATAGTCATTCGAGTAGCATTCCATACACTACTGACGATATACAGGAGAAAACCCAATGATAAATTGATCGAGTCCATTATATTTCAGAGCATTCAAGCTCTTTGGTATCGTTGACGACATACGTATCAAATTTTTCAAGCCATTATTTCAATAGCAAAATTTTTTAGAGAAACACAAATGTAGGGTCTTTAGTGAGATAATAACTCGTTATAATTAATAGGTAAAAATATTATAATTAATAGGTAACCTTATTAATACCTATAATGTATGTTATAAATACATTATAGGTATGAATAAGGTTAATGTAAGGGAAATAGAAGAGCCCGGAAAATACTGCGTAAGATTTTAAACATTTGATGCAGGGAAGAGTAACTCGCCTCATAATAAGGCAACAGCTACAGTTGTAACATGAGGCGTTGGTAGGAAAGTTAATATGACATGAATACTTAAGTAGATTATTGGGATAAAGTAAAAGAAAGTTTAAAAAAAAGAAAGAAAATAAAGTACTTAGGTGGGATATCATTTTGTTTTTGTTTGATTTTATTAACTTCGCACTAAAATCACCACGAGGGCTATTGGCGTTGGACTTCGTAATTTTCAACATCGGTCAAGTAACGAGGATGACACCTGAACTAGCACTCCCTCTTCTAACTTCCACACAACGCCAACGGGTGGGCTTTGGGACTCCGACAGATTTAACGTGTATCATCCCCGGCTATACGGCGGTTCTTTAGTGGTATCAAGGCTTGAACCCACGACTCAACAAAAACGCCAGCCGCGAGTGTATATATATATGCGTGTGTGTGTAGAGGATATCCAAAATTAACGCAATATTTGAATTTGCCACCATTCTTATAATAGAGTGTTGTTAACCCTATTAAAAAATCTATTAAATTATTATTAGGGTTAGTGAAAATTGAGCTTTACACGATAGAACGGCGCGTTTTCATTGTTGAACAATATTTCAAAAATAATGAAAGTCTGGTGGCCACAATTCAAAAATTTTGTACAAAATAAGGTCAGAATAGTTATTTAACTTCGTCAACTGTAAGAAAGTACTTGAAAAATTCGGGCAGACTGGATCAATTGGTGATGCTGAACGCACTAGTCGTCCAAAAACAAGCCGTTCAAAAGTCAATATCGTAGCAATGCGTGAGAGTGTTGGTGAAAGTCCAGGAACATCAATTCGGCGTCAGGAACAAGAACTGCAAATTTCAAGAAGCTCTCTACTCACTGAAGATCTGTGTCTCCGTGCTTACAAAGTTCAATTGACACAAGAACTGACACCTAATGCCCATGAACAGAGAAGAGAGTTCGTTGAACGGATAATTGAACCTCAACAAGTGGATACCTATTTTTCAAGCAAAATCATTTTTAGCGATGAAGCACATTTTCACATTTATGGCTTTGTTAATCGTCGAAATTGCCGTATTTAGGGTTCAGAGATCCCACATGTGATTGTCGAAAAACAAACAAATGCATCCTCAACGTATCACTGTCTGGTGCTAATTTTGGGCTGGAGGCATCATTGAACCATACTTTTTCGAAAATTAAGCTGGTCAAGCAATAAATGTTACTGATGCTCGATATCGCGACATGATAACACAGTTCTTTCTGTCTAAATGGGATGATATTGATATGGACGACATGCGGTTACAATAAGACGGTGCAACATGTCATACATTCCGTGAAACATTTCAATTACTGTATGAGACATTTTCTGC